TCAAACCTCATTAAACTTACCAGAGCAAATCACGGATGCGTCTTCACTGTGAGCACAATTTTCTACGCCCCATCCTGCATGCGAACAGTCGCTGATGGAGCTTTCACTTCCAACGCAAGCGACATCGTCCAACCAAGTTGGGCCTACTCCCTGACCAAAATGAGCCATCTTTAGGGCACTTTTGGCAAAAAAATAACCAAGTTCACGACAAACAACGTTCGCGTCATTTATACCCCAATAGTCATCACAAACGGTTCCCCAGACGCCATTGTGAAGTACTTCTACTCTTCCTTCAGCGCTCGAGCTTCCTCCAACCAGTCTCAAACCTTATAGGAATTGAGTTATGGACTAATCTGTTGCTTGTTTCAACATTTCGACATGAATGTTAAAATAAGGGAGAATATATCTTTCGATGCATCATCCAGCATATATCACTTAACAGTTGTTTCATGAGTCAGCGTGCGTATGTCGAGATATGATCATGAAGCACTTGGGGAGTTTGGAAAGCATGAAAGAGGCGTAAGAGTTGTTCAAGGCGCAGCCGAGAGCAACTCTAGTCTCTTGAGTTCTCTCCAAACTTCCCAAGTACTTTATATCCCAACATACGCATAACTGAAGCATGAACCAATTGTTTTATAACATTTTCAATGTCTATTGGACTATTTGTTGTTTTTGACTCAGTTATGATTGCAAATGTTTTTTTCCTCAAAGAGAGGGAAAGTTTACAGAAGTCGCTTAAGATAACATTTAAAAAAGGTTTTAGAATCCATACTGACATGGAAAACTATTAATTTACCAAAAAAGTCTAATTAATTAAAAAGCCTTCGCAAAGAATGATTTGCACACGAAAATAGCTCGCGCAGATGACAACAACAACAACAACACTCATCTCACTCCCCAACAAATTCAAAAGCGTTAGTCTTTAGATTACATTATAAAACACTTGGTTCTCTACTTCGTGTACCGGACACAGATGACACAAAACAAAAGATGCCTTTATTCTGTTCAGGGAATAATCTACTTGGTATTGTTTCATGGTTTTTGTTCCTCTGTTTTACTTCATCTGTGTACGGTACACGAAGTAAATGCCAAACACTTTGTATACGTTTCCTCGTGTACTGTTGAGTTATAGATGCACTTGGGACTGGCCATGGATTGCTAAGATCACAAGAACTCCAGTTATTAGTTTGTTGACGTAATCAGCGTGCTCAATGGGAATATGCAGCAAGCTCGCGCTATTGAATTTGATTAGGCGAAGCCCTGTTTTGGAATAGCTAATGGTAAGGAGAGTCGATGACGTCACCACATTACTAAAATCGAACCCTTTATCAAAATTCATAAGTGTCTAGTAAGTGGATAGTCATTTCTTTTCAAATGTTAATTAAGTGCCTAGGTAAAATTGTCTTCCTGTATACTATTTTGGTAAGTTAAAATGCGTTCCTTCATTTATAATTAGTGGATAGTTGTTTTCTTTTTATATGCAAGTAACTGTACTTTTGCAAAACATTCTTACACTTGAAGAGAAATGACTATCTACTTACTAGACACTTATGAATTTTGATAAAGGGATAGGTTTTAGTAATGAAGTGATGTCATCGACTATCCCCACTGTTAGCTATCCCAAAACCATCCTGAGCTGTCCCAAGACGGGGCTTATCTTTGCTGTAGGTAGACTAATTACTATACTGTATCAATACCAGTCAGACTGGTTTTACCGCGTTCTCTAGGCAAAAACAAAACAATTAAGACGCCGTGGGAGCGTAAACTTGGGCGCAAAAAATGAGCCCATCCTCATTTATATAGATCCAGATCTCTTTGACTTACCTTAAGAGTACTTAAGACATGCAAATTATATCACAGGCAACCCAAACACAAAATATAAAGCAACAACTGGAAGTTTCTAAAACGCAGAGACTCAGTACTGTTTTTCCATCATAGTTTACAGCGATTTTTAGGGATAGCATTTCTATAAATAGATTCGTCCGATCGAATGCAAACAACGGTCCCACTTACCAGCATAGGCTTGACCTCCACTAAGGGCCCAGGCCATAACATAAATAACAATCAAAATCGTCATTCTGTGTGAACAAAAATGTAAAAGAAAGATGATAATCACTAAAGCTTTAGGCCTATTACAGTCAAACCTGGAAAACCGTGNATCACAGGCAACCCAAACACAAAATATAAAGCAACAACTGGAAGTTTCTAAAACGCAGAGACTCAGTACTGTTTTTCCATCATAGTTTACAGCGATTTTTAGGGATAGCATTTCTATAAATAGATTCGTCCGATCGAATGCAAACAACGGTCCCACTTACCAGCATAGGCTTGACCTCCACTAAGGGCCCAGGCCATAACATAAATAACAATCAAAATCGTCATTCTGTGTGAACAAAAATGTAAAAGAAAGATGATAATCACTAAAGCTTTAGGCCTATTACAGTCAAACCTGGAAAACCGTGAACACCAGAAATATTTCTGGAATGTTATTGTCTTGCAAGAGAACAGCCAATCAGGCGTGAGAAACCGCAAGCAAGAACATTAATTAGCTTGTGATTTTGTGGCCATTTTGAGTGTCCTGATCTTTGACATGATTGGTCATAACCCAATAAATATTCATGAGATATTTCAAGTGCACTGTAATTTGGCCGTCATTTAAAGGAAAATTGTTACTTGCCTAGTTAGCCTATGGGCTTAAAGATTTCCATTCGACCCGCCTAGAGACAATTTTTCCTCCACAGCAACAGATAAACATGATACATGGGAATAGTGATCCAAGCTGTATCCGTTAATTTTTTGAAACGCAAAAGTTTTCATTAATTTCCTTCAAGAGTTGTACTTCACCCGTTATACCATCAACGACCACCTCTCCAGTAACCCATTTACAGCTTACCTGACCATTCGAACAAACGATCAAGTAATATGTATAACATTTCGTTGTTTAACAAACGATTCGCGAATATTGACGCGGTTTTGAAAAGTCTCTTATGTTAAGTATTCAGTTTCAATGATTTTCCCCAAGTTCGAGCGCTCGCCTGTATCTGAAATTGACTGATACCCAGTATTATGAAGTTTAAAAATTCTAAGTGGTACTCACTTTGAGATCCACATTTTCATCGCCTGGAGGTGGTGATCTTAACAGGGATCCAGTTCTGTGAGAAAATTAACAGAAACCCTTAATTCTTTAGAGCACTTGTGTATCAGTGAGTGGTGAGTCATTTCAGGTGCGTTCGATGATAAATTTTTGCGCCATAAGAAAACTGTAACAAAACTAAAGACGTCCTGAATGATGAAGAAAATGTATGAGGCCTTACTCCCAATCTAAGTAAACAAGGATCACTTGCCGGTGCTGGTTGTCTTATAAAAGTTAACTTTTCTTTAAAAAAAAAGATAACGAATATCTTTGGAAAAATGATTGAGAATATTACGACGCACTTTCCAATATAATTTAAACGGAACACGGTTCATGCAGCTTAAAAACAAATTACATGTTTTGATTGACTTACCTCATAAGTTATTTCGACAATTCGGAATAAGTTGTCGTAAAATAAATTGTTGGCCTACTGTTCCTGGCGAAGTTAAAGCATTTTTCTATATGTTTGGACGTCGAAGAGCACTGGGCTGGCTATAGCTCCCTTTGGATAATGACCATACACATAAATATTTGACATGATTTTCCAAAGTTATTAGTTAACCGATGGGTCTCCAGCACATTACCCCTAGAACAAAGCCATATTTTAAAAACAGAACTTGTTGATATCTGTCTAGAATAATCCGTTTTGTGCATTGTTTTGGATGTTTTCAGAAAGGATTATTGATTTAAATTTGGCTAAAGGATGAGAATTAGTAAATAAATAGCAACGTGTACGCAAATTGCTGCGACTTCACAATTTTTACGAGTCCCAAAAAAATAGAAGTTATGTGACCCATTTGTAAAGCTTTGGGTCATTACAACTATATTGCAAAAAAAGGCTTTACGCTGTTTGTTGCATTGCTACATTCTCTTCAAACCAATTTTGGAGTCAAATACAAACATTCGACAAAACGTCTAACAAACTGGATTAATATTTAAATTGTATATCTCTTATAAGGGAAATTGCGTAAATTTAATGAATTAAACATTTTGATTTGCCCATGTTATTAAGGACTGTGCCGTAAGCTGATGCAGCTAAGTGAAAAATGCTTTGGAAACGTTCACTATGCACCAAAAATAGTCTGGCGACAGCTGCTTGATCTATACCATTGTACATGTCAGGCACCATGCGGGCTTATTGTCGCTTTTGTTGAAATGCCATAGATGTTATCACATCATAGTGAAGTTAATTCATAGATGAAATAGGTATCGGGCATTTCAGTCATTTACCAGCCACGTTAATCACATAAGCTCTGTCGCGATTATTCGATCGATCTTGACCTTGAGAAATAATTTCTGAGAGTTTAGCTGGGTAAATCAAAGAAAAAAGGATAATCTCTTAGTGTAATCAAAGTTTACCGGTACACAATAAACAGCACTTTAATTTCGTTGAAGTTTTCTTCATAAACTGTTATGATATTTTTACAATTTCTCCATCTTTTCACAACGGGACTTTTCTGTACCTACTTTGTAAATGACATAAATTTCACGTTCGATTAGGAGGTTTTACAAGTTATTGGACTTGAGTTTTCTTTTCATTTATTTTGGAGCGTGGCCGGGGGTCCCAATAAGGGGCAAGTTCAAAGAAGCCTGGAGAACTTGCCCAGTGAGTAAAAAGAATTGAAATTAAATGGAATTGGTCTTAGGACTAATTACGGGTGAGTCACTTCACTTCTGACTTGGTAGGTGTGGCGTAGCGGTGTGTTTTTATGCCTTGGTTTTATGCCTTGGAAGCAAGGCAATCTAATAAGCAAGACCTTTTGGTGCTATTAGTAATGGGAACCTGAGTTTTTGAATATGAGTGGGAGATTTACTATGACTACGACGTTAAAAATTCCAACCAGTCATTTCACCGTAGCGTATCATAACAACTAATTCGCTGTATAGGCAAATATATTTTTTTCACACTTTTTGCCTCATAAATACATGCTAATCGTTCCCCCGATCAGGCTATTAAATATTGAAGGGGCATACAAAGCACCAACTGTAATCTTTGAAAATTTGAGCCCCATATACTGCATAGTTTCTGAGCACCTCTAGAAGAGGCTGTGGAAAACTCGAATGATGAGGATGCATTTCACATCAGCCAAAGAGGTCTCGTTAACATTATGCTCATGGAGTATCAAAACGTTGAGCCAAAATCGCCAAAATCAATAAATAAGCTTCTGATGGATTTTCACAAGGCATTTCCTTGTGCCAATAGCTACCCTGCTTACAAAGTAATGAAACCTACATTTGCCACCACATTAAGTTTCATAAAAAACCTAAAGAGAATAATGAATAGAAAAAAATTCAACAGAAATCCTACCATAAGAAGGGTTTCTTGTTCTCTGTGGGTGTAGTCCTGAAAAGGTGGTGGTAACGGTGACGATTTTATGTGCTTAGAAGGTTATTCACTCTGGAGATCGTGTACAAGATCTTTTACATCGTTCTCTTGAATGTATCAATGGGGGGACACAGTTGGATAGATGGCAATTTTCTGCTTTTCTGAAAACCTTAGCTAACAGAGGAAATACTGATCTACAAGCAACTTCGAAAATACCTTGAACAAAGAGTTTATATTCCATGAAGCTTACAATGTTGAAAATTGTCACCAGTCTAATCACATGAAAGAATGTCTAAACGAAAGACAGCTATTTTAACTCTATTACGCTTTGGCGCTTTAGAGGAGGCGTCAGAGGTCCCCCTCTATAACTCTTTAACCGTTTATGATACGGCCACAAAATATATAAATAATAATCTACTCATAACTTTCAATGACTATAGAATGCTTAATAGGAAAGAAAACTTTAACAGTATAATCTAAGATATTTAGCCCTGTAAATACTTCATTTTAAATAAAAGCGATTTTTATGGATTTAATAAAGAAACGTGACAATGTATGACTAAAAAGAGCGTTTTAGATTTACATGGTGCAATTGTTGGTTTAAAAGAGGGTTGTTCCCATTGCATATGAATAGCTTGCTTTATCTTGAGTAAAAAAGCAGTGGCAGCATGATCCAGAATATCAAAAGAATTAAGTAAACATAAACTGTAAGGTGCAAATCCACTCGTAAACTGGCGTTAACGCTTTATTTGGACAAAACAAACAAATCTGTGCAAACAAGGATACATATACGTGGGACAAGACCAACCAATCCATACAATCAAGGATATGTATATACGTTGTCAAGCGTTAAAACGTTGTTACTTCGTGTGAAACGCTCCAATATGATAGATCGAGTGACTTCGTACAACAAGAAAACTCATCACGTGATCTAAAAGGGAGGGAAACAAGAAAACAGGGAACCCAGCCGCAACATAAACCTTGGCATTTTTTAGAGTCTTGCAGGTGTTTGAATAAGTGTAAGGCCCTATCAGTGGTTAAATGCTCACGGCGTACGGGTGTGGAAAATGCCGGGTCGTTTCTCCGATGTAGCAGGCATTACAGCCCGCGCATACAAACATGTAAACAACACACGAACGAAAACCACAGAGGATATTTCTATTTTGCTTTAAATCCGAAAAAAATGGAGGTAATTGTGATATAAAATTTGATTTGTGCATGCTTAAGCAGCCCAATTTTTTTTTCACTAACTTCGCCAAACAATACGATGAGTGACACTACATCAAAAAAACACACAAACAAAAAAAACAACAAAAAAAGGTACATATATTCACAGGAGTACAGGCCGGGACACAGCAATAGCGAGCGCCAATTACTGCCGGCCCAAGACACTGATCGCTAAAAAAATTAAAAACTACAATACTATCTAAAAACAACTGGTGATGTTCCGTCCTAAATTATGGGAAGCATTACAGGTCAAGCATATAGATTTGAAACAGCGAGGGTCATCAGGGTTGTAGGAAGCGACAAGAGCTTGTTTGTAATTTCCGTAAAGGGCAGTTTTAAAAGAACTTAAAGAACAAAAACAGAATAGTGCAAGGTCTGCGGCAAGAGCATTCCATATGCTACTAGTTCTGTTAAAGAACGATTTTTGAAAGATTGTTGTTTTACAGCACCTGATTAAAAACAAAGTGATATCCGGATTGCTAGCAAATCTAGTGGTTCTTGTTGAAGCGCATATCCGAGGAGTAACTACAGTCAAATTACAGTTGGATTAATTTCAACACGCCCAGTTAATGTCAAGATATTCGTGCCAGTATTTCAGGGGAAGCAGGTTTAATTGAATAAGCCTATCCTTATATGATTGTTGACAATGAAATGGAAGATTGAGGATGTGTTTTGAAGCTCGTCGCTGAATCCGCT